TACATTATCACTCCATGATACGAACTCGCAACTTTATAAACAAAAACAGACATCAAAACATGTGGCGCTAGGTAGCTAAAAACGCTAACATGGCTCACCTGTCTGGTCAAAAGTGATCTTCAATGGCATTAAAACGATAAAAACGCTGCTGAAGTTAATCCATAGGTTAACCCAATGTGTCTGTGTCCCTTTGAAATGATTTCTGATAATCCATGAGAAATAAACCTGCCTTTCCGTTTCCAGATATCAGAGCTAGAGTATAGGTTCGCTCTGATGCAAAACTGCATGCGCGAAGCCCCCACCTTTTTTTTCTACCATGTGTGTGAGAGGGGAGATTCCCCTTCGATTCTATTGGCTCTAACGGTCATAAAGAGGTGTCAATCACCAAAATCGACCAATGGGTTCCAGAGAAACGGTAAAACCCCCATTTCCACCCAAATCACCTCAGAGGTGGAGTTTATTTTGCTAAACCTCTCTAAAAAGGTCAAATGTCACTTGTTTTGCATCAATCTTGATACAGGGTACTTATTATATGTTGTACTTTGGATTCCTAAAGCTTTTAGTCTACCTTACCATCGTCCAAGGGTAGTTTTCACTATAAGTAAAAAAGAATTTTTGGACGGACACTATAATTTACAGTTTTTTACTATGTTCAATCTGAATTTTCTTTAAAATAAAAAACATCTATATTGTTCTGACTCTTCTACATCCAACTCACAGGTTTATCATTACTTTGAGAAAAAAGATTATTAATTTAACCCTTTTAGAAGGGAAGATATGGTCATTTGTTCTGGGAATGTCATTTTCGAGCTTGAGACCTGAAAAACAGGCTCAGGGCTAAACAGGTTAAACATAAGCTCTCTCGCATCTAAAGCAATATTGGTAAATGATTTAATATCAGATTATAATATTGATATATGCTGTCTCACTGAAACTTGGTTGAGACATGAAGAATATGTCAGCATAAATGAGGCCACTCCACCCAGCCATATCAATACTCATATTGCTCGAGGCACAGACCGAGGAGGTAAAGTTGCAGCCATCTTTGACTCAAGTTTACTTATCAATACTAAACCAAAATTAAATTATACCTCCTTTGAAAGCCTTGTTTTTAGTCTTACGCATCCGACCTGGAAAACTTTGCAGCCAATCTTATTTGTTACAGTGTACCGTGCACCAGGTCCTTATTCAGAATTTTTATCAGAATTCTCTGAGTTTTTATCAACTTTGATACTTAAAACAGATAAAGTAATTATCGTAGGTTACTTTAATATTCATGTTGACGATGATAAAAATAGCCTTACTGTTGCATTTAACTCTATATTAGATTATGTTGGTTTCCGTCAGAGTGTAAATAAACCAACCCACTGTTATAATCACACTCTCGACCTTGTTCTGACTTATGGTATTGAAATTGAGCAACTATTAGTCGAACCGCATAATCCTGCTTTATCCAACCATTTTTTGGTAACTTTTGCAGTACTGTTACTAGACTACAAACCATTAGTCAAAAGCTCCTGCAGCAGGAACCTATCTGTTAGTGCTATAGCCAAATTTAAGGAAGAGATTCCATCAATACTTAACTCGATAGCATGTCTGCATGGAAGGGAGGAAACTTATACAAAATGTACACCACCACAAATTGATCATGTTGTTGATAGTGTTACAGATGCCCTGCGAATAAAATTAGACTCTGTTGCTCCTTTGAAAAAGAAGAAAATAAAACAACATAGACTAGCTCCATGGCATAATGCCGAAACCCGCAAAATAAAGCAAAAGTCGAGACAACTTGAAAGGATATGGCGTTCCACTAAACATGAAGAATCTCGTTTAATTTGGCATATTACTCTCAATGAATATAAGAAAGCACTGCGTAAAGCGAGAGCAGCTTACTATTCTTCATTAATAGATGAGAATAAGAATAATGCAAGATTTATTTTCAGCACTGTAGCCAGGCTGACAGAGAGCCACAGCTCTATTGAGCCTTCTATTCCCATAGCACTCAGTAGTAGTGCTTTTTTAATGATAAAATTGTTACTCTTAGAAACAAAATGAATGACCACTTGCCTTTGACCAGTATAGTGTTATCAACAGCTCCCGGAAACATAAGTTCTAATATTACACTAGATAGTAAATTAGAATGCTTTTCAGCCATAAACCTTGAACAATTGAATTCAATGATTCTTTCTTCTGAACCATCAACGTGTATCTTAGACCCAATTCCAACTAAGCTGTTAAAGGAAGTTTTTCCATTAATTAACACTTTTTTATACATATTATGAATATGTCTTTATTATCAGGCTATGTTCCACAATCATTTAAAGTAGCAGTGATAAAACCTCTTCTTAAAAAGCACAACCTCGATCCAGAGGTTTTAGCCAATTATAGACCTATTTCTAATCTTCCGTTCCTCTCAAAAACTCTTGAAAAAGCAGTTGCCATCTTACCTTAAAGAACTCATTATACCCTACTGTCCTACTAGGGCATTTCATTCCAAGAATGCACGGTTGTTGGTTGTTCCTAGTGTCTCTAAAAGTACATTGGGAGCCAGAGCCTTTTCTTATCAAGCTCCACTTTTGTGGAATCAGCTTCCAGTTTGTGTACGGGCGGCAGACAGCCTATCCGTTTTTAAGAGTACGCTTAGATCTTCCTTTTTGATAAAGCTTATAGTTGATCTAATAAGAGTGCATTGACGTAGACACGTTGTGCCTCTTCACCTATACATCTTAATTCTTACTCTTTTTCCTTACTGATGGTATGTAATTTGGTTGTGTGTGTAGACGGTGGAAGCAGGGAGAGGCATATACGTGCCTTGATCCCTGCCGAGTCGACGCACAACTGTTGATTGGTGTCAGTGCCAAAAAAAACTTTTAGGAGCAAGGCGCTCATGGTATAGATGTAGTGCATACATCTTAGTTCCTACTCTTTTCCCTCACCCTATCCTAAGGGAGTGCATGTACGTAGACACGTTGTGCCTCTCCACCTCTGTTCCTTACTTCTTACTTGCTACCCTTTCCCTCAACCTATTCTAAGGGAGTGCATGTAGGTAGACACGTTGTGCCTCTCCACTTCTGTTCCTTATTTCTTACCTGCTACCCCTTTCCCTCAACCTATCCTAAGGGAGTGCATGTACGTAGACACGTTGTGCCTCTCCACCTCTGTTCCTTACTTCTTACTTGCTACCCCTTTCCCTCAACCTATCCTAAGGCAGTCCATGTACGTAGACACGTTAGTTTAGCTGGTATAGGCTTAGACTGTCGGGGGACACCTTACTTCTTCCTTCTGTCTGTCTGTACCTGTGTACTCTCATGTTCCGAATAACCCAGCTTCCCCCAAATGTATTTTTGGTGTCTATATACGCCGGGATCCTGAGTCGTGGCTGATCCTGTTGCTGCGGTCCTGTGTCCTGGATCCTGAATCATGTGTCCTGGATCCTGCATCGTGAGTCCTGGATCCGGAGTCCTGGATCCTGAGTCCTGGATCCTTAGTCCTGAGCCCTGGATCCTGTGTCCTGGATCCTCTATCCTGAGTTCTGGATTTGAGTCCTGGACTTCGAGTCGTGGCTGAACCTGTCTCTGCGGTCCTGCCTCACTCTCATCATACCCTGATGGCTTCCACAGGATTGTTGACATCCTCGTAGATTCATCTTCTTATTATAGACACATGCATTTCCAAACATTTGGTCTACCTATGCTGTAAAATGTATTATATCTTCGATTTAAACACGGCATCTATTGCACGTTTGTCCGTCCTGGGAGAGGGATCCCTCCTCTGTTGCTCTCCCTGAGGTTTCTCCCATTTTCCCCTTTAAACTGTGGGGTTTTTCCTTTTTTGGAAGTTTTTCCTTGTACGATGTGAGGGTCTAAGGACAGAGGGTGTCGTATTGTCATACTGATATTCTGTACAAACTGTGAAGTCCACTGAGACAAATGTAACATTTGTGATATTGGGCTATATAAATAAACATTGATTGATTGATTGATTGAAGAAGACTCATTCTCTTTCATGCCAATTCTAAATGATACAATTAATTTTGCAGATTAAGGAGTTTTTCGTGTCTTTGCTTAAACAGTCATCTAGGTCCAATAATGCCATTGTTTCAACAGCATTTAAAGAACTACAGTATATTTCAAATTATAGTAAGGACCTGCCACAGACTGAAGATAATTCAAACTGTATATAGTCAGTTTTAAACGACATGTCTTGAAGTATTTTGACGTGCAGTCCTCTTCTTGACAATAATAATAATACTACATTACATTTATAAAGCGCTTTTCCTGGTGCTCAAAGCGCTTAATAGTGAGCTGTTCTCTGACCAGCATCTGAAACATCCTATCAGATGGCAATTGTATGGAGGAAAATTAGGGCCACATGTGAAACATTTATTGAGGTCTTAAAAAAATAGAGATTGAATATTTTATAGTTAAAAATATAGTTCAAACTGAATTCTGGGAAGAAAACTCAGAATTCTGAGATTCCAGCCACATGTGCAAAAAATGTATTGGTCAAAACTCGAGGAGGTAAATGTTCCGCCTGTGGCCCCAATCATCTTCCGTACTAATGCTATGTTACAATTTGTGTAACTTTCTTAAACAGACCATCCCTGTAAATTTGGCACATATACAGTTATTTATCTCAAAATGATTGTAACTTAAGTGTGTGTGTGTGTTTGTATTTATTTAAAAGCACTTCCTTCTTTTTTTTCATTCTTTGTGAAACCTTCTGCTGATATAATTTTTCCATACATTTTTGCTAATATTCATATGATTGTGCTCAGCAGTTTCCTGCAATCGGCATGTTAGGTTTTTTGACATTGCTTGTGTAGAAGTGGACATTTGTAAAAAATGTTATGAGAAAGTTAGTCATACTGTACAGATATGTGAATATCCATACCTAATTGAATGACAGTCTGGACATTAGTGCCATTCTCTACTGGCACCTTTCAATGCACATTTCCTACAGTCTTCTCAACCTGAACTGTTTCTCCCCTTTAACTCCAGCTGAGGTCTTGGAGCCCTGCAGTCACCCAGGAACGCCTACCTACGGGGTCCCCAGCTCCAACAAGATCCAGTTCCAGGCGGGAGAGACCCTCCACTACTCCTGTCTGCCCGGACACCAGCTGCTGGGGGAGCCAGTTCTCCACTGTGTCCCTGGACACCCGTCCCAGTGGAGTGGGCTGCCACCTGTCTGCAAAGGTGAGGAACTGCAGCCTGGCAGGGTCACCATCATTCTACACAATATCCTTTGCTTCTTTAAAAACATGATCTAATGTAAGACCATTCGAATATGTAAATATGTGAAGTCCTAAACTATGGATGAATAAGAATACCTAAATGTGCTAACATATTTTTGAATAATTCAATACTTAAGTCATTTAATTGGTTGAGTGTTTTATTTAAGCAATGTAAATCATGTTACAAAGTGTCCAAGGGAGCCAAATAAAGACAATTATTTTTGAAAACGTTATGTGCAACTGAATACATTCAAGTTGAATAATATGAGAATTGAAATAAGTAAAAGAAAAGTCAAAGGTGGTACTTTGAAACCTAAACCCTCAACTTTATCTTGTCATCTTTTGCTCTTACAAAGTAAAATATATTATATTTCTTCACTTGTTCATAAAGATTCCAATCCCTATGGCATGTCTTTGTTTCCATAGTGTGAAGGGAAACTAAAACACACTTTAAAATTGCCTTTTTTAAAAAGTGTTTTTCATCGTATTTGTATAATCTGTTTTTATTACTATTATTACTATTCTTCAATTGAGTAAATTATTAAGTACACTATTCCTTTTAGTTAAAGAAAAACGTAACTGTTCCCATGTTTTTAAACTGTGATACTATAGCTCAGATTCTAAATGATGTACAGTATATGCCTGATATCTAGCAAATTATTTTATTGTTACATTAATCTTGCCGACATTTTTGCATTTAGCAGAACTAAATTATTCTTCATCTCCTTTTTTTCCTGCGTGGTTTCAGAAATCCTTGACTTTTTAAGTGTTGCAAAGAATGACACAATATCTTAATCATTTCTTGATAAATACCATTTTACATTAGTTTTTTTTTAATAACTTTGATTGGGCCATGAAACTTAATTAATTTGTTGTTTACGTGACTGAATGTCATCTTTTGTTATTATTTCAGTTTTTGTATAATTTAAAGCCTGTTATCTTTGTATATTTCTACTTGAGTAACACTGCACATATTGTACCTCAATGTGTGCTGGAAAAAAGAAACTGAAATCACATTAATCAAATCTCGAAAAGCTTCAAATGAAATGTTCATATTCAAGTCAAAATATGTAGCTTGAACTTCATCATCTCGTGCACTCTGTTTATTTAATTCCATCAATACCTGACTTCATGTTCAGACGTGGGACCTTAAATCCTCTCTATTATTCAGTGACGTTGACCGTTTGAAAGACAGTTAAAATAAAATAAGCTAAATAAAGAAGACGGAGCATGTTTCAAAGACACTGTGAAATCAATCACAAATAGAATGCCAAAAGGAAAAGTGGATATTGTTTTTCTGTCACTTTGAAGAAGGCTGTAGGAGAGTAGACGCTGAAATAACGCAGGATTGGCCTTTAGTTCATGATACAAAAATGTTTTTGTGAAAAAAATTCTAAAGTGTTTATAATTCATGCAGTTTCATGTTTAACACACTTCTGTATCATTCACAGCCCACCCAGCTAATGCTGAGCACAGATTAGATGGTAAGTCTTCACAAGAAGTCTGATGGTCTGAGCATGGACGTTTTAATAGATATTTGTGCTAAGATTATTTAAATTTTTTAACAATTACAAAAAAAGAGCATGGTTTCTTTGCAAGTTTTATGTTAGCTGATTTGTTTTTAACGAGTGAATTTCTGCTGAAAGTAATGACACATGATTAGCAAATACAAGAGACAATATTGTTCTTAACAAAATAAAAACGTTTGACCTGCCAATCAATAATGTATTGTCGTGTCCCCGTTTTCTCTCCAATAGTGTCTACTGCAGACCTAAGAATGGAGGGGGCCCAAGTAGCATTTGCTGTCTTCATCCCCATCGTCCTCCTCCTCAGCCTCATCATTGGAATCTACCTCTACTACTCAAAGTAGGTTCAAATGTTCAAAAAGAAGGTTCAAGGCTTTTATTTGTCATACGTATAGCTACAGTGTAGTTATGTCGATGAAAACCTTAGGTCACAGGCTCCACCAACAGAGCAACAGAAGACAGTTTTATACAAATACATGTGGTCTTAGCTTCTCTCTTTAACACTCATATAAGACAATAAATACCAATTCTATCAATTGTCTATTTTAAATTAAAGCCTGTTTCCACTGAATATCGGTTTTGAGCCGGTGAGCAATTGCAAACCAGTTTTTTGTGTTTCCACTGCAATGACGCCAGCTGTCAAGCACCAACTATTTACTCGGCGAAAACCGAGCCACATACGTCGGAGGCCGGAGCGGAGCAACAACAGCTCATGGCAAGAGTAGAATGTTCAATCAATCAACGTTTATTTATATAGCCCAATATCACATATTCTACATTTGTCTCAGGGGACTTTACAGTTTGTAAAGACAATTAATACAAATACGACACCCTCTGTCCTTAGACCCTCCCATCGGACAAGGAAAAACTTCCAAAGGAACCCCACAGCTAATGGGGGTAAAGTGGAAGAAACCTCCGGGAGAGCAACAGAGAATGTTGTTCAGGTTACATTGAGAGCGCAAAGTGGCTAGAACACAACCACAAAGATATAAATAAACTTGCCTAATGTTCACCATTTTATTCACTTTGAATGAAAACCATTTTGCTATAGTTGTGCTACCAACGATAAGCTACTCAAAGTATTTATGGTGAATGATTATTATGCTATATATATACAAGGCGGCATGTCGGTGTGTCCTTGGGAAAATTGCTCCCGATTGCTCCAACTGGGTGTGTGAATGTTAGCTTCCTTGAGCAGATGGCACCATGTATGGCATCCCCTGCCACTATATAAATGGGTGTGAATGATGACTTTTATATGTAAAGCGCACTTGGGAGTCGTAAGGAATGGATAAAATGCTATCTGAAATGCAGTCCATCCATTTACCATTTAAAGTTGAAGAATTTGTCATTCAATAGCTTGAACATGACACAGCTCCAATGTTAGCCGCCATTTGTGTTATTGTGAGTGATATTCACGCTGGAAACTATAATCGCATGAAGCAAAGAAAATGGTCAGCTCTGGTCAGTGGAAAAGCAAACTGGTTCGCACTTGGGAACTAAACCAGCCAGCATGGAACTAAAACAAAACGCATGTAAGTGGAATAGAGGTATCAGCACCGTTTACAGAGAAAATGTTGGTTTGTTATTATTTATTCTTTCTATAACATTTGATTGTATTATATAACCAACCCTGTTCTGCGATTTCTATTAAAATGTGTGTGTCAGTGATCCTTCATTATACCATCCACCTCCACAACACCTCCATCATAACTGGTCTACACCTCTCTATTAGCACATCTGACTCATAAAAGCAGGTGCAGGAGTATGTCACATGATGAGAAAAGTACACAGTTACATAGAATAAAAAGAAACCACATTTTAGGGTGCCATTTCTCCAGAATGACATTGTACATATTAAAACATGTGTGTCTCCTTCTTTGTCATGCATTCTCTGTCTGTGCTCAGGCTTCAGAGAAAGCCACTTCAGCTGTCACTGTCCTCCAACCTACCATATGAAAACATCTCTGGAGAATCCACGTGTGACAACTCAGTTTATGAGACAACGGTGAGTCAACGTATACCTCAGACTGTGAGATTGCATGTTTGTTTGGGGGGAGGGACTAGGCACAGTGTTTTACTCCATCTCCTGTGTTCCCAGTGTACCTTGTTGTATCTCCCTCCCATTACCTACATCATGGACAGTGGGTTTGAGACTAAAAAAACGGTTTAAGCATTGCTGGATTAATTTGCAACAGTTTAAGATCTATAACTAATGTATTTATTTGTTTACCTAACAAAACTGGTCTGGTTCTATCAACATAAGTAAATATTCTGTACACTGTATAAAACGTTTGATGTGTTGAGTTTTTCTTTTTCTTCTTCCATGCTGGCAATCCCATAGAACAATGATGTGAGTTGTTCCTAAATCCTAAATGATGTGTCATAAATGTTGCAAGGGGAAGTGTAGCAATATTCTTATCTTGTGTTTGCCTATGGTATGGGAAACACGTCTGATATGCATCCCTCAAACCAACAATACAGTATTGTGTGAATCACAGTAGGGTGTGTCTACTTCCTTTGCTAAGAAGCTCTTTGTTGTTGACTGATCATTAAACCACACTGGTTGACATGATACTTTATTAACATGAACACACACACTGTACTTTATTTCACTCAATCCCATTTACACTGTCCTGCTGCGACAAATACTTACTAGAGCACCACATGTGGATTAATCCGCAACTAAAGGAGTCCCTTTGTTTGACAAAACTAAAGTGGAATATGTTTGTTTTTACTAAATCAAACTATACATTTCTGAGCTGTTTGATTTAATTATTCAGTAGGAACCATTGGCTGAGGCTGACAGCCAAATAAGTCTAGGGAAGTCAGAAAGTATTAATAGGAGAAAATCCCATTAGAGATGGACGCATGATATTTTCACAGGAAACTAACATTACCGTTTAATTTTTATTTCTTATTGCTGTATCCAAATAAAAGTTATTGATTAATGATTTTTATGATAACATTTGACAACCGCTGCTTCGTACGCAACTCCCTTCCTTTGACCACATGTGCTCATTCTCTTCACAGGATACACGAGAATACGAGGTTTCGATCTGAAGACGCCAGAGCATGTGTTTCAGAATGGACAGATAAGAAGCCTGCTGGCCTTTTCAACGTCTGTCAGACTCACACCTTTGGTGACTCCACCCTGTTCTCTATACACTGAATATGAGCCTCCCTTTATTTACCCTACAGAGGATGCCACACTACCGCTGGAAAGGCTGGGCCACCGGATAATTTTTCTAGCTCAACAGTACAGTCCAGCAGCAGCAGTTTGTACAGTTTTTAATCCTGTGATTGCATCCTGAGGACTTTCAGCACCAAGAACCATCTCAGAAAGCAGAGGGATTCGATGCAAAGCTTGTGCCATTAAGTGATATAACCACTGATGTTACATTGTGTTATATACATTATACACTATATGTCTCCTGCACCATTTAAAGAGCAATGCTTGGATTAACGGGATGTCTATTAAGAGTAACATCTTAACTTATCTTGACAAACAATTGCATTTACATTTAGAGTATGCTCAAAAATGTAGCCCTTCGAATTGATGCACGATCTGAGATAAGAAATCAGAATATACATTAAATAAAAGGCCCTATAAAATATAATTGTTCCTGCGAGAGAGAGAGAAGAAAACGTATTTCATTTTCATGTCTGTATTAAGTACGGAGCTGGATGTGGTTAACCTTACTTTGCATAAAGACTTGAAAGCAGGGGGTTTAGCTAGCCAGGCTTGGTAAATACACCCAACACCTCCTTAGCTCACTAGAAAACATGTTGCATCTTGTTCATTTGTATCCCAAGTAAGAACAAAATAAATAAACAATATGTTGCTTAAGGATTGTAACGTTTTCATGAAAAAATCCAACTGAACATCGCTAACTATGTAATTTCTTGAATAGCTATATTTAATTTGCTTTCAAGATTTCTCAAAACAAAACAAAAGCCCGGCTTGGTACAAATTCATATAAAGATAATAATGATTAATTGCATTTATTTTGTGCTCAAAGCGCTTTACATTACATATTACATATATCAGTTATGTAATACATCATGTTGTTCTTTTACACTTTTGCTAGCAAGCGACTCATTAGCTTGCTAGCATCAACAGTCTCACACAACCCAGTCTCACGGCATTTCGTGTTATAGTCATGACATTTAATCTATTGATTCATGTTCACCAATACGATTTTCCCCTTTTTTTGGTGTCACACAGAACGATTTTAAAAGCAAGTATTTCTATTGGTAGTGTGTTTCGTGCCTGCACCACGTCTTTTTGTCCGGTCGGGTCTTGGAAAACCGGAAGCTGTGGGGTTCATAAAAACATGTTCTTACTCAATATCAAGCCAGAATTATTGTTTTTATTTTAAATCGTATAATGTCGGACTTGTTTTGCCGTCCGTGAGGAAAAGAAATGGGGCTCAGAGCCTCAGAAATTCAGTTCCTGAGGAACGACAAACAAGCCCGACATTATAGAATTAAACAAATAAATAAAAACAAGGATAATTGTGTGTTATTGTTGAGTAAATAACAGTGTGTTATTTAGAAAAGAATAACAAATTAGAAGGAAAAAAAGATTTAAAAAATACAGATTTCTGTATTCTGAGGCTCTGAGCCCCATTTCTTTTCCTCACAGATGGCAAAAAAAGTCCGACATTATACAATTTAAAATAAAAATAATAATCGTGGCTTGATATTGAGTAAGAAAATGTTTTTATGAACCACACAGCTTCCGGTCTTCCAAGACCCGACCGGACAAAAACACGTGGTGCAGGCACGAAACACACTACCAATAGAAATACATTGCTTTTAAAATCGTTCTGTGTGATACGAAAAAAAGGGGGAAATCGTGTTGGTGAACACGAATCAATAGATTCAATGTCGTGACTATAACACGAAATGCCGTGAGACGGGGTTGCCCCCTTGGTCGATTTTGATGATTGACACCTCTTTTGAACCATTAGAGCCAATAGAATCGAGAGGGAAGTTCCTAAAATCCATCTAAACATTACCCATTGGTGAATGAGTGATGCATAGCCAGAATGCCCAAAACCGGAAGCTGGGTTGTAGCTCTAATGGCGCATTTCCACTGCAGCGCGTAGCCCGGCCCGTTTTTTTGTTGCGTTTCCACTAGGGGTAATTCCGGCTAACGGGTACTTTTTCACAGTTTTTCTGGCCCTCCAAAATTGTGGTTCTTTCTGGGCCAACAACCGGGCTGAATATGCTAAACTAGTGAGAGAATCGCTGGCAAGGGGGCTACAACAAAATGAACATATTTTACCGTGATTTAATTGTAATACACGTTTCAAAATGATGCCGAAGTAACAACATACTGATACCGGTTAGTAAAAAACATGAATTAATGCTTTGACAAGTCTGCAGACAGACGGCAGGCGAAAAACCTTTTAAAATGCGTGTTTTCTGAATGGAGATCGGCTAACCTAACGTTGTATATGCTCCGACCGTCCACACTCAAAACAACGGCCTATACAGACATAAATAAACCAGCGACTGTATTCGCCATGACACAGACAGTCTGTGGTTTGTACTTGTTTAACTTTTGTCTAGTTTCTGAAAAGATATGAGGAGCTGTGAGCTCTGAGTGCTAACAACCAACGATTTCAAATTAAAAATAATAATCGTGGCTTGATATTGAGTAAGAACATGTTTTTATGAACCCCACAGCTTCCGGTCTTCCAAGACCCGACCGGACAAAAATACGTGGTGCAGGCACGAAACACACTACCAATAGAAATACATTGCTTTTAAAATCGTTCTGTGTGACACGAAAAAAAGGGGGAAATCGTGTTGGTGAACACGAATCAATAGATTAAATGTTGTGACTATAACACGAAATGCCGTGAGACTGGGTTGTCTCACAGCAACGATTGTCTCGGATCAGTCTTCACTGTTAAAGCTAGGATGGGTTAAGTATTTATTTTTTCAAATGTTATATTTGGCACTTTAGATCTCGACTGTTAAGCCAATTATTTGCCCTTTCACTCATTGTGCCCCAACAAATTCTTCCACAAGTACTAGCCTGACAGTATAGTGACATTAGCTATGTTGGTTGTTCACATTCATATTTATGTTTTGAGAGAGTGGCGTTTTAAAGGACCACTGTCAGGGTTGCCAACTTGGGGACTTTTTAATTAGATGTAGCGATTGAAGCTACTGCTAGCTAATTTTATTGGAAAAGGTTTGGGAACATCTAAGTATTTTTGCTTTGGATATAGTTTGAAAAATCTGGTTTACTCTCTCTTGCTGGCCTTTCCAAGTTTACCTACCCAAGCTTTCAAGGATTCATTTATTGTCCTTCTGAAACACAAGGTTGCCCTATGAAATGCAATTATAGTACATTTATGCTACACAATATAGATAGCCTAGCATGTTTATGCTCATCGAGGTTAACCATGTCCTCCAGCTCCACACTTAAGACACTGACATGAAATTGGTTTCAAGGTTTCCATCTTGCTCACAAAAGAGAGCATTTCCCAGAATGTTGAACCATAAACATCCAATTCAAATTAGGATCATTCACAAGTTTTATTATTTATATTTTAGAATCACAATCCTGATTTCATACACTTATATGTAATATGCAGTTAAGCTTGATACATTGAATTGTACCCCTTTAACTGACATGTCATAACCCTTCACTTTATATAAAGTGAAAAGGAAAATGTGCACCAAGGTAAGCTACTGTTCATATTGCCATTGCCTGTTCCGAGATTGCGTCTAAATTCTGACAATAACTGTTGTTCGCACATAGGCCTACAGGATTATCCTATGATAATATGTACCCAAGCTGGTGTGACGACGATGATAAAAATTAACCTATTTTTGATTCATTGTACATAATGTACTGATAAAGCTAATTCACAAACATCTTCATTAAAAGTTGTTGTTCAGAAAAAACGTGTGATTTGATGTGTCTGAATTACTCGAGCCCTTGTTTGCATTGTGGGAGAGTGAATGGTTGTCATCCAATAGATTGTTTTGGGATATTTGAATTGTAATTCCAATGTGTAATATATACAATACATCATGTTTGACATAAGTGATCCATTGAATAAATGTATTTTCAGAAACACTACTTGACAAACCTGCTAAGAAGAACAATACTATACAAATGCAGAATTACATAGAAGAGCATATTTGAGATCAAGCAGGTAAAGGTCTGCAGATACAGAGAGTTTTGGAGCGCCGTTTCAGATCAACTGTGACTTCTATTTTGATTTTGGCTGCTTCTGAGCAGCCTACCACACATTTGTAAAGGTGTAAGTAAAACATTGTTTTTCAAAGTATTATCTATATCACATTAAAGAGAGATGGAAATGTAATAAAACTTTAAATTGTGAAACCTCTATCAGACTCATAAACCTCTTGTGTAAAAAGCTTGTTTCATATGTTCTAATCTGCAAGCACCCTCCTAAATGTTGACTTGCAGTTTGCCACTCCCATTCTGGCTTTTATCTTTGGCACAGAGCCATGTTGTCTCAGACACTGTGATGACCCAAGAGATGCTTTGTGGAGAAATAGAACATTCAACAAGGCTGAGCCCCACTACAATGTCCCCAGATGGGAACTGCTCGCCATGGTCAGCACCATCTGGCATTTCAAATATTACCTCAGAGGTCTCCAATTCACAGTCACGACTCAACACTGTGCTTTGCAGTGGCTCGTGTTTTTTTTTTACAGAGAGCCAAATGGCCCGGTTGCATGGTGGGTTGGGGAAAAAATATATACTTTACTGGGTTCCACAGACTGTGGGCCGTGCAGACAGATCCCATGCCCAGCTCCAACAGTCACCAGAGGGGACCCCATAGAGACAGTGAGGGTTAATGTCTTCACTGAGTTTTTCCCACACAGGGAGGAGTAACTGCTTCCAGCTGGTAAACAGCTCCTAATTGTAAGCTTAAACTAATATGCTCTCTTAAATCTATTCATGGACATGCATTACAGCTTGTAATAAATCCCTGGTAGAAGTGAAGTAATTGACACAACCAATGTTTTCAATGAAACTGCACTCTAAAAAACGATTCATGGGGTTAGTAGATTCCACTTAAAAATATATACTTTTTCAACATAGAACATTTCGTTTTTACCTCAACTTATTTTAGGTAGTTTACAACTCATTTTAATAAGTCGGTCAAACACACGCATGGACTCTGCTAGACTGCATGTTGAGTTGGAGCAATCTGCATTCATCCTGGAAGTGGAACACTTGATAGCAGTGGAACAACAGGATTTTAACCTAATAATCTATCAAGTTACCTGGTAAGTAGCCATTTTTGTTCAGCCTCATTTACAGCAGCTGCTTCCCAGCTAGACATCTTTGGTTCTAAAAACATTCTGAGAATGTTACCATTCACTGTTCTAGGAATGTTTTCAGATGGAAGTTTTCTTTTGGTTCCCAGAAAGTTCTTCTGAACTCTGTTGTGATGACCTCTTCAAATGTTTTTGATAACATTGTTCGAACATTATGCCCTACTATTCTTATAACGTTTTCAGCTGCAAGTTAGATTTTTTTATGTTGCCAGAATGTTATTATTTTAGAGTAGGATAACATGCTTTATCGTTCCGATTTATCAGAAGTCTTTCTTTTTTTTTTAAATGCGACCAGCAGCTAGAACAAGTCACTGTCGGTGTCACATGTACTGGAGGGGACCCAGAATCAGACTCGGAATCAAGCCCCCAGGAAGTGTGCCGGACTCAGATGAAAATATTCGTGGTGGCCAAACGGCGGTACTACATTTCCGTTTGGTTGCCAGGCCCGGAAACACTTTTTCCCATTGACTTACATGGGGAAAGAGTGGTCTGTAAATCGTTGGATAATTTTTTTTAAACTAAATAAACTACCCAGTATGAACACTTGTATAGCCCTTATTAAAAACATTCGTCCTCAAGTTGTAAAAATATGCTAATAACGTTATTCTGAGAGTTATTTGCCTCTGCATTATGAACGCGCATCTAACCCACGGGACCGCGCCGCCCGGCACGTTCATGTGATGTGACGTGTTCAGTACTACATGAGTTTTACCTTTACCCATGGATGCACAATAAGAACGGACCCATATCGCCTTACTGCCAGCCCACGGAGCTGTAATAATGGATATATTGCACATGTTTGCTGTAATTCATAATTTGTAAA